TATGGGCCATCAGTCGACTGATAGGGCTATATTGGCAGACTAGAATAGGATTTCGGTCTACTGATTCAGTCTTGGAGTTTGGGTTTTGTTTGGGATTTTGCATATTATTCATAATATGTTATTAAATCTGTTTTAATGATTTTAAATTGTTAAATTAGATTTATGGAGGATTTTAAAAACATGATTTAAGTACATATGTTAAGCATGAAATTTAATTAATTTAAAAGGTTAAATTAATTAAATATGGTTGGATTAAATTATTTTAATCAATTATTTGGTTATAAATAAATTTGATCAGATTGTGGAGGAGTACAATTATTTGAGATGCATGTTAATTTTTATTAGGTAAATATAATGCATGCTACTTAGAATTGTTATATTTTGCTCAATTAAATGTGAAGGAATATCTGTATAATTTATATCATGCTATATATGGATTTATTTGATATGATATTATAACTGTAGCATCATTTATGGATTGTATGCATTATATGAACCAGTATGGGATAGTGGCATATTAGAGACGGATTAACTAAAAACATTAAGTCCTACCTATTCATGTATAACAGAATGTATTAACTAAAATGTTAAATCCTACATATTTTCATGTCAGGTCAACTGAATCAGTTGGATAACATACCGAATATTTATTTTATGTTTGGATAGGACGGATTATATATATATATATAGTTATATGCCATGATATGAGTTTGAGTTTCAGGATCATGGTTAGGGTGTTTATATTATCAGGGATGTGTAGCTAGATATAATGTAGTTGTGTATCCTGGTAGGTCTAGGTACTTATGTCCACTATATGTGCGTTTTGCATGTTGCCTACTACTCAAGTTGAGACACCCTATAGTCTAGTGAGGTTCCTTTAGTATGTATCTATATATATATTGACTATGTAGTTATTGTTGGATTGACTAGGATGTATATAAGTTCTGAGTCTCTGTTTGGGATGTAGTAGATTAGAACTTGTTTATAGACCTGACCCATCATTATTTTTCAGATATTCGTCAGTTCCAGGCTTAGAGATTATTCGTGCTGAGTAGAGACGATATATTCACTCCTTCGTCATAATGTAAGATTTCCTTCTTTATGTTTTAATTGGATATTTTATTTCAGTTGGATTTTGGATTAGGGGTCCACATGATGGATTCCTAAGTTGTAATATTAATTAATTACTGGTATCAGAGGATTTAGTTTATTGGAGGTTTATTAGAATTAATTAATAGGGATTTAATTATTTAGTTTCTTTCAGCTATTATTCTTTATTCTTAAATCCATTTTGTATTTTATGCTTGTTAAATACTTTAATTGTTTGATATTCCCTCAAGTTTGGGTTTGGGCCTGATCAACCCATATCTCGGAGCCGAGGGGTATCACACGTAAGATGAGACCATGGGATTGGATAGGGAGGATTCATGGCATAAACATTGATTGTATTGTTGGTTCTCGTGGATGATTTGTGTGTAGGTGAATGTCTCTATATTGATACATGTACATTGTTGTTAATGACATATGTTATAGATTCCATTATTTCCCCAGAATAGTATGATCCTTCCTCATTTACTTCTTATTCTATATATGTTTGCTTATGGGGCTTTAGGAGCTATGCCTTAGGCATACCCTACTGAATGGTGGTGCTCACCCATTACATTAAACATTTTCAGGGTTTTGGAAGTGAGATGGAGGATAGGGCGTGCTTACAAGCTTAGACGTAGAAATAGAGTCCATTTTGATCATCCTTTGTAACTAAATTATATTCTTGTAAAGTTTTGGCAAATGACATGCAATTATTTTATAGATTATGGCATTGTATATGTAATCATATTCTTTTGGGACATGTTCAAGTATATTTCATATATGTATATAATGATGAATGGAAAATTCAATCTCTCTTGTGTCACAATATAGTTGATTCTTTTATTTGGGTCGTCATACATATCTTGGGGTCATTTGTGAATGTTTTGGGACAGGTTTAGACCTTATATGAGGTCATAAATGAACCAAATGGGTATCGGGGCTTCAAACCAGCCAGTACAAGTCAAAAAGGGCCTCAACAGGGTAAACTGGTGACGTTTGGGGCTCTTCACGTTGACTGGTATCTTCACAGTGGGGTTTTTGGGCGTGAGGGACTAAACCAGTCAACGTGAAAGGGGAACACATTGACCGGTTTAGCCAAACCAGTAGACGTGTTCCCTCATCATGTCGACCGGTTCCTGGTCTTCCCTTCACCTTGTTTCTTCTTCTTTCGTGACCAACTCCAAGCTGTTTAATAATGCAATGATGTAGTATAAACCCCAGAATGATGTTAATTATAACTTGACATTGGAAATGACTGTATTACCCTTAGATGGCCTCGGGTTCGGGTAAGGACCCGGATAATGATCCGGACCCCCGGGTTTGGGTCATTACAATATTTATCATTCTGAGGGAGAATTATATTGAGTGATGGAACCATAGTGAGATGACTAAGAAACGCAGTCACACCTATACCTTCTGGATTTGTTGTTAGGACATGATTCATTACTGTCGCGGTATGTAGTTTATTTTTCAGGGATATGTTGCCAAAAATGTGATGTTCAGGTATATGTTTCCTGGCTATATGCTGCATGTATAGGTGTTGATTTCTGAACATGGTAGAGGGACTATGTACTTTGTGTGTATCTAGTTGATTTCTCTCGGCTACAGTTATGTTCACTATACATTGCATGCACTTATATTTTAGCATGTATGGTTACTTATTGTTTTGACAGTTCTGGTTAGAGATGACTAGTTTATCAGTTCTCTGTTAGGTCGTAGTAGAGAGGATTTGCTCGTGGGTTTAACCCACCTTTTGTTATTACTTTTAGGTCCTCGTAAGTTTCAGTCTCCGGGTTGAGGATATAGTGTGATACTCCTCAATTCCGGAACACATGTTGATCAAGTCCGCACACGAAACCGAGGGAGATATCAAACAATTAATATTTAAATCGAACACAGAATACAAAAAGACAAAAAATAAAGAAATAATGTCGTTGAAATGACAACTAATAAATAAATAAATAAATCTCCTCTAAATAAAATTCATTAATCCTTAAAGATAAATAATAAAAACCTAGTAGAATTAATTCTCTAAAAAACCTTCATATTGCAATCCGTTACTTGAGAAACTAAACAAATAGTCCAAATAAAAATAAAAAAATTGGTAAATTAACCCCCAATTGTTTTATAGAAATTTTAAAGAAGCTAGTCAATTCGCCTTCAGATGAATAGTTGTCGTTTTGTGTCATTTTAGAGATAGAATTGCAACAGATATGGTAGGCAATGAATGTGGCATGTTGAATAATCTCTAAACTCTAAAGCTTGCAATTAAAGTATTAGGGTTTGAGAATGGAGGAGATCAGCAAGCAGTGGAGGTGGTGGAGGTCGGCTGGCGGAACATATGATGAATATTAGGGTTTTAGAATTAGGGAGATGGTGGGCATAAATAGCAATTTGGTGGGAAGAAAAAAGGAATCGTGACCGAGAGAGAGCTATATTGGGTGTGGGGAGAAAATCTCAAACACGGAGAAAAAAAAATCTTCTTTCCTTTTGGATGACTGTGAAAAGATTTGCATAATTCAAGTTTAATTTTTTTTGGACACATGTTATGTTGTTGTTCGTCCATATTAGCATAAGAAGGAGATGCCTACTAATGCGGCCTAAGGGAAGCTTTTTTCAAATATTATTAGATATAATGTTTTAAAAAAATTAAAACTTTCTATTTTCTTTTCTCTTAATAACTATAGTAAATTATGAGTTTATTTTCTTCTTTAAAGAAGAAAATACACAATTTCTTCCTTAGAGAGGTCTTATCCATCCAAGAAAATACACAATTTCTTCCTTAGAGAGGTCTTATCCATCCATTCTTCTCTCCCTTCCATCCATTTATTTTTTTTCTTTCTTTCCTACTTAAGTCTATTATAATAATTAATATAAAACCTTTTGGTGGTCATTTCACTAGAAAGAACCACTTTAACATTGTCATTTATTCATGTATTATTTTTTGATCAAGTTTTATTTATTTTTGTTTATCTAAATTTAATTGTAATTTGGATATCTTCCATTTCATTCTGGTATTATTTTTTATCAAGTTTTATTTATTAATTAGTTTATTTCTTGTCTAAATTTAATTAGAGTTTGGATATATTTAATTTCAAAAATTATTTTAATTATTTATTTATTTTTTGAGTTTCTCCTCTTATTTTGGTATTTGTTTTAATCATATATGTAAGTTTGATTGGTTTTCTAAAAGTTGTATATTGAAATACTAAGGTTGAACATTATTGTGACAGGTAAAGAATTAAAACAAAAAAAATGTCTATAGCTATTTCTTGGTTATTGAAAATTATGATCATAAAATATTAACTTAATATTTAAATTTGTTGCAAATTAAATTTAATTGCACGTGATTTTTTACTACTATACATGAATAAATCAAGCTCAAGCTGTCCTCCTAATTTGTAATTTGCTTTGTACATATTTTTGATAATATAAATGAATTCATATTTTTACCATTTTAAGTACACAATAAAAGATTTACTTAGACAACAAGTGACTTTTTAAGCCCACTTAAAGCGAATCTTTTCCTCTTTAGTTAATACCTAACAAATATGGTTGGTATTTTAATTTTTTTTTTTTTTTTTTCGTTTATTGAATAATTTTCTTTTCCTTCCTTGTGTTTATTCAAGAACAATATTACTTAGTGCAACATTGAAAAATTAGGTTAACCCAAGATATACAAGGTTGATCAAGAGTTGTAATTTAGTTATATTTTCTTACCTTGACTTGAATTCGAAGTAAATGTGTGAATTTTTTGCTATAAAAAAAAAAAATAAAAAAAAAATAAAGTATGAAATTGTGTTTACAATGCCAAAGGTTATCCCAACTTTAAGTTTTAAAACTAAAAATCCTTTTACACTTCTTATGGACTTAAATAACTGATTATAAAAAATACAGTAGGGTTAAATTCCGAAAAAGAAGCAATTACATAGAGTCATTCCAGTCAAATTCCAAAAAAATAAAATAAATAAATAACAAAAAAATAAAAATAATTACAAATAATTCACTGGATTTTCACCCTCGTAGCGTTCAGTAAAGCCAAAGTACATGACATTATAGCGTCAGACTCAGAGATACAGAAGAACCCTAGCACTCCGCTCTCTCGCACACTGCGACATTTACGGTTGCGACGATCAATGCTCAAGCCCTTCTTCTGTGTCGTCGCATTTCTCTTTTGCTTCTCGTCTTTGCAACCAATCGATCGACGAATCAAAGCTTTTGCTGTTCTGTGTAGATTCAGGTAATTTCTTCAACCCTATCCCTAATTACTGGTTTTTTAATGTTTCGTAGTAGTAATTCTTTTATATTTATCTTAGGTTAGTGTTAATTTTTCGTTTCTATAGACTGTTGCATCAACGAATTGAAATGTATGCGAGATTTGGAATTGGATTTAAGGACTAATTCAGTTAAAACTACAAAATAAATTTCCTTCAATTCCAAGATGTGGGTTTCATGTTTCTAGGTGATGCTTCCATCAATTATTAATTCAGTTCAAACTTATCCATCAATTTTTGATAAGTTATTTAATCACAGATACATGAGTTTTATAACAATTAATCACTTATTAATCGTTAAGCATCACATAGAACAAATATTTTCTTCATCCAAAGCACTAATGGCCCCTTTAGATAATTTCATATGTCATTTCAATTCTTAGATTACCAAGAAACAGTTTGTAGTTAGTACAAAACCTTACCATCAGAAGTTCAGAACCAGGATCTGATTTGCTCATCTGGGATGATGTGATTTTTACCTCGCAGTCCTAGATTTATATACAAAGTTTTCTACTCAGATTTGTATAGCATGCAAGTCAAATATAATAAATCTCGTTATAAATCCATGACATGAACAAAATACTGTGATATGTACCGTTTTATAAGCATCACGATGATTTTGTTCCAATTATTTCTCTGAAGATAAATCTGTACCAAAAGAAAGATTGGAAATAAGTCCGTCAACTACTGGAAATCCAGAGTACAGAAGCAGCATGAGAAAATATCAACTAACCACTTGAGGATGAACGAGCAAAATCCTTTTGACGTATGCATTGGCATCTCACACTGCCACATGAACCACATTTGGAGACAGCCAATGAAGGTTTGATATTGGCAGAACCGGGAGCACTTCTAGTATGGATCTCATCTCTAGATCTCCACTAATGTCCCTTTTCCCGGAGTCTTTAGGTTAAAAGTGACCGTCGCCTCCCACTTCCCTATCAGTTCCTACAAGATGCATGGCTAGTCAGTTTCCGTATATAGCCCTAAAGCAGAAATTGTATTCTGCCACTTCATACCTTTATGGAAAATCTTCCCTGAAGACCGAGGCCTGCCATTTTCTTTCATTTTAGTAGGCTCTGCCTGTGTGAATAAGAGAGATGGTTAAATAGATAATACATTAAGTACTCAAACCAACGCAAACTTTTAGACCCAATTGCAAAAAAACTGAAAGGTAAAAGTAATTTTGATATAGTAATCACCTGAAAACTACTTACTTTTGCAGCTCTTATATCCAAAGAACTTCTAATCACTGTTTCCAACTCCCATAAAGTTTTTTCATCAAATGCATCTATCTCCACTTCAAATTTTTCTTCTTTTTGGCAGATGAAATCATATTTTTAAAGAAACGCCTGTAACTATTGTGGCATATTTCCATTTAATACTCTCACAAGATATTCTCTCAACTTTTGCTTCTTCATAGCTGACATCAAGCTGCCGGGCTTCAAACTAACACACAATGAAGGTGTTTTATGGCTATTCTGCCCTGAAACAACAATATTATTTGGTCTTCCACTTGAAGTAGATGTCTGTTCATCTTTTCTGCTCAGAAAACATCTATTCTGCCCAGAAAGATCAATATTCTTTGGTCTTGCACTTGAAATGGATGCTTTTTCATCTTTTCTGTTCTTACAACTCCATTTTGCCTTCAAGCACTTCTATCCTGTATTGAAAAGATTTTCTACATCCTTGGCCATGATATGAACATAGTAGTCTGGAGGATTATAAAGCATGGCATTGGAAAAGGTCAGTTTGACATCAGAAGCAAACTCTTCAGCGCTGGAATACAAATTCTTCTCCAGTTTGCTCTTTATTGTTCCCAAATCTATGGGTTCAGAAATTATAGAAAAATAATCAGGAATATTCAATTTCTCAGGATCCACTGGCTGATTGAAAGGCCAAGCAGATGGATTAGTGATCAATTTCTTCAGAATGGTAGAACACTGCTGCGACACACTCCGGTCTCGTGATCAGTGTTCACCCTAAAAACACCTTTAAGTTATCACCAGTCTCGCTCCCGCCTTCAACAGCAACAAAGCTCCTCTTCGGCCGTTCATCTCCTCTCTCTCTCTGGTTTTTGGACAATGTATCAAGTTTTTTCGTTTCCAACGCTGCAATAAATGCTAAGACTGCGTATTTTAGTGTTAATAGACTACTCAAAACCCTAAAAACACGTGCTACTGCAAATATAGTAATGAGGAAGTTGAAGATCAAAACTGAATCCAAACAAACTAAGACTGAATCTACGACGCGATGCAACTTTGGCCAGCAGCTGTTCAGGGCTGATGGATGTGATCAAATATTTCTGTCTGAAAATAAAAAGTCTGGGATGAATAAATTACAGAAGTTAGTGTCAACTGCGGAATGAGGCACTAACTTCTGTAATTTATTCATCCCAGACTTTTTATTTTCAGACAGAAATATTTGATCACATCCATCAGCCCTGAACAGCTGCTGGCCAAAGTTGCATCGCGTCGTAGATTCAGTCTTAGTTTGTTTGGATTCAGTTTTGATCTTCAACTTCCTCATTACTATATTTGCGGTAGCACGTGTTTTTAGGGTTTTGAGTAGTCTATTAACACTAAAATACGCAGTCTTAGCATTTATTGCAGTGTTGGAAACGAAAAAACTTGATACATTGTCCAAAAACCAGAGAGAGAGAGGAGATGAACGGCCAAAGAGGAGCTTTGTTGCTGTTGAAGGCGGGAGCGAGACTGAGAGGAAGTGTAATCACAGAAAATTCTTCGATGAACAGTTGAAGAAGACCGAATTAAAGACATCACTGTCAGATGCGGTTGTCTATGTGACTCTCTCTTTGAGACATCTACATCCATCTATGGTCTCCTAAGGACACTTGAAAAGGTTGGGCCATCAGAAACTCTTTCTAGGGTTGACTCCTTCCTCCAGTGGGGCAACGAGCATCAGATGATTCAGAACACCTTTCAGGTGGTTCAAAACATCCAAGAAATTCTTCTCGAGGAAAGGAGAAGGTCTGAGACAACTAAGCTGGTTCCAGGGGCCATGAAGACTCCATCCAAAGACAGCTCTGCCGAGAAGGAGTCAGCTGCCCAGACCAAAGGACCTGCAATGGCACCCGCGGAGTAAAAAATGGCGTTGGGGGAGTCAAAAAGGGTGCCGGCGGAGGCAACAGAGGCCATGGTGGAGCTAATGGAAGCTCTGGTGGAGGCACCATCGGCCCTGCAGGTGGAGCCAACGGAGGCAATGGCGGTGGAGCTGGCGGCGGTGGCAATGGAGGTGATGCCGGCAGAGGCAACGGGGGTGGTATCCCAGATCTTCCTTTTGATATTCCTTTTCTAAGCCTCGGTAGATCCACGCTTCTTTACTCACTGGCATGCGTTTTGGTCCACTTTTGGTCAGGTTTAAACTATCGTAATTAATAAGCTAGTTAGAGTTTTTTTAGTACATTTATGTGATTCTGCTATATCTTTTGACTAATTACTGCTTTAATGCTCAAATGATTGAGTTATGGTTATGTTTTATATTATGCGTATTTCTAGGTGATGCTTGGGTTGGATGTAGGTTTTAATGGAGCCTAAACTATAAGTAAAGGCCACATTGGATTGCACCTCATGAATATGTGAGATCCTAAACTGTATGTACTGATACCATTGACCATACCGCATATATATAAATAATTTTTTACACTAACTTATATAAAGCAACTCTAAAGTCCAAACTAATGCAATAAAAAATGATTGATAAAGATTGTGGACATAACTGATGAGAAATTTCTCACACTTGATATCTGGGGTAATCTGTTGTCATGCTGCCTCTCAAAGGCCTTCATTCCACTAAAGTTTTGCCAATAATTAAGTATTGCACACATTCGATGACTACCCCACTGAGAGTGCAACAAATTAGAATGTATCTTTTGGTTAAAGTCCATTTGTACATGACTAACTCTACATTAGAGTAGAGTTTAACACGGTTTGGAGGAATGTAGAGTTGGTTAGGACATTCCTTCACATTAGAGCTATGACTCTGATGTAGAGTTGGTCTAGGAGGTATACGCAGTTTGGAGGTTCACATTAGAGCTATGAGTCTGATGTATAGTTGGTCTAGGAGGTATACACAGGTTGGAGGTTCGCATTAGAGCTATTACTCTGATGTAGAGTTGGTCTGGGAGGTACACACAGTTTGGATGTTCACATTAGAGTTATGACTCTGATGTATAGTTGGTCTAGGAGGTATACATAGTTTGGAGGTTCACATTAGAGCTATGACTCTGATGTAGAGATGGTATAAAGGAAGCAGCTTCTGAATGTACCTACTAATAACAGATGAATATATATATAGATAGATACAATGGGCAATGGGTGAGGGAGTATATAATATCAATTCTTCATCTTGACATGAAGGAAGCTCTAAATCAACAACTTGCAGTGAAGATAGGGAGTTTTTTGACTGGAAGAGAGAGAGGGAGAGAAAAATAGATTTGCAGAAAAATAACACATAATACATGATAATGATACCATGCTGCATATGTATAAATCATTCAGAAACTAGAAAAAATAGTAATATTTTACACTAACTAATATAAACCAACTTCAAGTTAATGCAATAATAAATGATAAATAAAGATAATGGACATTACTGGTTAGAATTTTTCACACTTGATATCAGGGATACTGTGTTGTCATGGTGCCTCTCAAAAGCCTTCATTCTGCTAAAGTTTTGCCAATAATAAAGTACTGCACACACTTGATGACTCCTCGTTGAGAATGCAACAAATTAGAATGCATCTTTTGGTTGTAAAGTCCATCTGTACATGACCAACTCTACATTAGAGTAGAGTTTATAATGGTTTGGAGGAATGTAGAGTTGGTCTATAGGACATTCCTTCACATTACAGCTATGACTCTAATGTAGAGTTGGTCTAGGAGGTATACATGGTTTGGAGACTCTCTCCACAATGCAATTAAACTCCACTTGTATCTTTATGTAGTACATGGTTGAACCATAAAGAGGTCCAATCCAACTAATAAGCTTTTTGTAATAGACAGTCCTTCTCAATACTTTTAAGCTGGTTTGCAATATAATTTTGTGTTGTCTAAAAAATCCTATTAACCTTTACATTTCTTGGTTTCTCCAGCTTTGGCAGTACAGGTTGGAGAAAGAGATGAAGTGAAGTGGATTTTGAAGTGACTTACCCCAAAAAAGTGTGAAAAAGTGGGCTCATCAGAAGATCAACAAAGTGAAGTGGATTATGATTTTTATACCTAATTTATAAGTGAAGCATGAAGGGGATGAATTTTCCAAAGCGCCATGTAATTGTCATTCTAACCTTTATCTGCACATGTGTTTGCTATATTGAACGAGTTGGGTTCTCGATAGGGTATACTGTTGCTGCTGATGCTGCTGGGGTAAATCAGTCAAGCAAAGGCACTATACTTTCAACATTTTATTATGGATATGCCTGTTCACAGGTGCCTGGAGGATGGGCTGCTCAGAAAATAGGGGGGAGGCGTATTCTCCTCTTCTCATTTGTGTTATGGTCTCTAACTTGTGCTTTAGTACCACTAGACCCAAACAAAGTCATGACTTTGGTATTAGCTCGCTTGCTTGTTGGAGTGGCACAAGGGTTCATCTTCCCCTCCATACACACTGTCCTAGCACAGTGGGTCCCACCGCATGAAAGGTCAAGATCTGTTTCTCTTACGACTTCTGGAATGTATTTAGGTGCAGCTGCAGGTATGCTTTTGCTACCGAGCCTGGTGAAGTTCAGGGGTCCCCAATCTGTATTTCTCGCAGAAGCGGCTTTAGGTGTCATGTGGTCTATTCTTTGGTTCAAATATGCCAGTGACCCACCCCGTTCTGAGCATCCAAAAGCAACTGCTGCTGGCTTTGGGGAATCTTTGTTGCCAACCAAGGGGAGTCAGAAGAAGGTAAAGGGGGAGAATGGCGGACACTTCTCTAATACATCCCAAATTCCATGGAAGAGAATTATTCTCAGCTTGCCAGTTTGGGCAATTGTGGTGAATAATTTCACTTTTCATTATGCCTTGTACGTGCTCATGAATTGGCTGCCTACATACTTTGAACAGTCTCTCCAACTTAGTCTCCAGGAAATGGGTTCTTCTAAGATGATACCTTATCTCAACATGTTCATATTTTCAAATATTGGTGGGGTGGTTGCGGATCACTTGATCACCAGGAGAATCTTATCTGTAACTAACACCAGAAAGTTCTTGAACACTGTTGGATTCATAGTGGCTTCTTTTGCGTTGATGGCAATTCCCCACTTCAGGACGCCTGGTGGAACTGTATTTTGTTCTTCTGTGGCCCTTGGTTTCTTGGCACTAGGGAGAGCTGGGTTTGCTGTGAATCACATGGATGTCGCTCCTAGGTATGCTGGAATTGTCATGGGAGTATCTAATACAGCTGGTACATTAGCTGGCATTATTGGGGTCGACCTTACTGGCAAGATTCTTGAAGCTGCTAAAACTGCTAATTCAGATATTACAAGTCCAGAAAGCTGGAGACCTGTGTTTTTCACACCAGGCTTGCTCTGTATTTTCAGCTCTTTTGTGTTCTTACTATTTGCAACTGGGGAGAGGATTTTTGACTAGGTCAGCGTGTTGTGCATGTGCCACGGCTTATCAATTCTCTGACTCATGGACAATTCCAACAGGACTATATTTTCAGGTTTTAGACGGAGAAAGATATTTCAAAAGTAGTTGCTTGATTGTTGTTACGTACTGACCAAATATCGCTGCTCATTCATTTAGATATTTATACTATGAGTCAGGTTTTTGTTCTGACACATGACCGATTGTATCCTCCTCTGACTGACTTTACAGAAATTCTTGGGTACCAAGGGCATAGCTGTGAGCCTTGTCGGAAATGTTAATGTAAACTGTGAGTTCCTATGGCGTTTTTAAGATGGTACAGGAAATTTATCCCATTGCTTTCCCAGATGTAGAAATGTACTTTTTCGATATCATGGAACGTTTGATTTTAAATACTTTCTTAAACCATGAGATGTTGATTTGTAACATCCGGAGGAATTTATGGATTATGTATTCTTAAATTATGACGATTTTTGTGTTATGAGTAGCCAATGATATTTCGAACCTTCAAAATTGTTGGTGGTTGCCGACCAGAGATGGCGTTTACTTGAACCACTAGCAGGTGTTTTTTTAGAGGACTCCTCGAACTCTAAGCATGCCCTTTGAGAGGTAAAATTAAGTGGTCTGTGTCTTTTGATAGTGGTCTATCATTCCTTCTAATGCTGTCACTTCCTGATTGGTTATTACGCAATCCGCTTAATAACGGTTACAAGTTTCCATCACAATTTATTCATACATATTTGCTCTGAAGGTGAGATTACCATCTGTAACCAATCATGAATCTCCGAGATTATGACAATGTGACATATACTGTATATATTTATTTCATTACTATTTCACTTTATTTATTGGTATCCAATTTCAAAACAAAATGAATGGATGATGTAACATGGAGTTAGATCCGATTAATAAAATGAATTGAGTTTCCATCAATTTCATCATTTAAATCCGAGGAGAAAATCTGATGTCATTGGAGCTTCTTGTACTGACCAACAACAAGTGTTTGTCTCGACTAATCATTTCACAAAGAAAGTTTGTGCACACGGCTCGATCTGTTTCTATTTAAAGAACCACGTTTGGCCTAAATTAGGTTTATTCAACCAAATGAGGAAGATTATTTCTCTATTAATATTTACTTGAGCATACATTTCTATTTTCTAAAATCATCAAATAACATAGCAATAATAGACTATGCTAATAAGAAAAATAATTTTAATAATATACTTGTATAAGTGAGGGATAAGGTTAGAAAATGATGTATGAACTTCACACTCCGTATTAATTAAGGGAAAGGGTAACTTTGGCATTGTAAAAAAGGGGAGGGGAAGATGTATATGCTAATATATATACATTTGACTAAAAATGCAGTGCCATAAAACCTCGATAACAAATTGATAACAGGAAAAAATCAGAGTTCAGTACCATTAAGAACCAGTTCCTTTTATTCTTTCTTTATTATTTTGTGTGTGTGTGTGTGTGTGTGTGACTGTGTGAGTGGTGGTGGTACATACGGCGATAAGAACCAGTTACCTCTGCCCCTTTCACACGAAGTTCCTGTTTAAAGACTTCAACTAGAAATTGTCTTGCAAGAACCTATAAAGCTCTTCTGCAACAATATTGGGATATTCTTCTTGTGGGAACCTCAATAAACTATTTTTTATATTTTTTGGAAACTCACAACTCCCCTAGGCAAAGGGTCCTTTGGACCCACCCCAGGCTAGAAACTGAGGGTGCAGCGGCCAACCCCAAGGCATGCACCAGGTCAATCAGGGGATATAATGGGGGTGTTGGGGTTCGAACGTGGGACATATTAGCCCAGGCCCTTACCTTACCACCATCACCAAACCCCTAGGGGTGAACCTCAATAAACTTGCTAACCCCTTTGGCTTTCCCTGAGGGCTTCCATCTCTGTTTTTGACCTCTTGGGAGCGCTTGCAGTTGACATAACTAAAACTGGCATCCTTCCCTCCAACCCTGCAAATAGCTCAAGGAACCCTTCTCGGGACGTCACAGGGTCAAGTAGGTCGGTCAAGAAAGTAGCAGGAACATCCCTTCCTTTTTGTCGGTGCGTATCTGCTATCAACAATACCCTGAGTCACATTGTCAGGATCTGCATAAACACTTTCTTTACTTTCTTCTCCATTCCAGCTTCATACTAACCAGAAAGAATAGAAACTTGTTTCAAGCACAAACTTGTAAAAATAAATTTGTTGTTGAGGTATCTGACAGCAGTGGACAAACTGAACATCATAACCAAGCTTAAAGAAAGTTCTCAGTACAGAGTGGGAGGAAGATGGTAGATGGACTGAATCATGAATTGAAACAACAAAGTTACACTTGCACAAAGAGAACAATGTTATCATTTCTTTATGCTCTAAATGAAAGAGGAAGATAACAGTTGCTGGATTAAAAAAAAAAAAATCACTACACTGAGTTTTAGAGGTTTGCATCGTTACAATTGAAAATCAAAACCACTAATTTACCAGATTGAACAAAACCAAGATCACCTAGAATGATCTCCTAAATAAACAGACAATGGTATATAATCAAACCAAGCCTTACCACTACAAAAGTATCTTAGATTAGAATTCAATGCAACAGTTTGCTAAGCTTCAAGTTTCAGTTGCTGGAACTAAAACAGAGAACTCAAATTTGCTCAGCGATTAACGAATGTGAATTAAACAAAATCATATTCACTACCCCAAAGTAAACAAGGAGAAACCAATCTATAGTTCGAATTAGAGATGTACGACATTGAAAAGGTCACTCTGTTACTTTGAAAGATTCAACTTCTCCTGATATAACTTCAAAAGCTCAGGAGCTTCTTCCTCATATTTTTTCACATACTTCTTTAGGAAGTAACCTTTAGGAGAGTCCAACATCTTAATCAAGCCAAAATCCTTCTTTACCAAACCTTTCGACAACAAAATTTGATAAACAAAAAACCTTGGATTGATCCTCCTCTCCAAGCTCAACATTACAAGCTTTGGCCTCCTTGCAACAATTGAAGACTCCCAACCCATTTTATTGACAAAAAAATCCATTATCCCCACAATCTTATCCTCTGATGCCACCATAAACTGTGGTTGCTTCCCAAAACCCACCAAAATCTGATCCTCAGACAAACCCCACTTCTTAAAAACCTCCACCTTCTTTTCCCAATTTGATTTACTCATTGTCCTCAGTGCATTAATTGCAGCACCAAACATCATTTTTGTAAGGTTAAAACCCATTTTCTTTACTTTCTCCACAATCTCCTTAAACTTATCATCATTAGGCGTGAAAGATTAAGGTTGTTTTGTAAAGAAAGCCACAATATTCGATTCGGGCACACCTATTTCTCTCAGAGTTTCAATATTGCGTGCTATAGATATATGAAGATCATACAACAAAATCCTAGCAAAGCGTTTAATAGCGGCATTCGTTTTTTCTTGGGACTTGAGTAATTCCTTCAAGAAATTGTAGGATGGGATGATTTTGTCTTCCAAACTTGTTCTCAAAACTTTTGGTGTTGCAGACAGTATTTTGGCAATGTCTTGGGTTGAAAGACCTTTAGAGTGGAAAAATTTGATTTTGGGGAGAAGGGTTTTATCTGGTTTGTCTGGTGTATTGATGTTCATGTACTTGGAGGCCGAGAGAGCCTTTTCTGGAGGAAACCCACATGATTTAATAAGGTAATCGACAGTGAATGAGTATTGTTTGAAGTGGTAGATATAGATTTGAAAGCTGATGATGATGAAGAAGATAATGGGTAGAGTTGAAGAAAATACAGTTTGTGGGTTGTTGTTGGTGAAGTTGATACAACAACACACCTCAAATAAGACAAAGATTTGAATATGAAATTAACATGGACAGTGATGGAAGGGACTCACCTGTTCTGGTATTGTTCTTCTGAGGAAATCTTGTCGCGAATTTGGATCTGCTTACCTAAAACAGTCCTCCTTTCTGATAAACCCTAAAACACACACTTGTCGTGAATTTGAATTCGTGCTATGTGGAATGATCCACACGACGTCGTCTCCAGAAAACAGGAATTTGACCCCTAACCAAGAATAGCATTCATAGCTTTGCACATGCTATATACGGTAAAGTGCAATAAACCAACTTTATTCTTTCCCCTTAAAAATCTCCGTAAACATTATTATTATTATTATTATTATTTATTATTATTATTTTTTTACGGTTAATCCCATAAATTATCATTTTTTTTTTTTTTTTTTTTTTTTTTTTTTTTTTTTATACAAAATTTACCCATCAGCGAGGTTCCGGCTGTTTCTTCTCGTTAAAATGGCATGTGTTAATAACGTGCCATTGAAAATGATAAAACTATCCCATATCTTACTTTATTGGGCCAAATTAGTAAACCCTAATCCCTAATCTCCACTTCCAATTTCTCTATAAACCAGTTGGGTGTCCTCTGTTTCTATTTGGCAAACCTAAAATCTTATACTTACGTAGTAATTTGCAGAGAGTTTATACTTTTCCTACAACTGAAAGTCGCTAAGAGTTTCTTCTAGAGTTTAGAGAGAAAATATGAGAGGCATACAACTATTGTTGAATCAAAGGCAGAGGATAAGATTGGAAGAGTACTGGAACTACTTCAATCTTTTCCATTGAATGAAATAACGATGCTTCTGTCATCGCTGTTTAGGCTATAAAAGTGAAATCCCCAAATTGACAATAGCAATTAAAGCCTTGCCTCTGCCCATTCGAACCCTAAGCTTGAACCATTTTGATTCTCTGCAAGGCATTGTAGATTCACAAAATCATAAATTGAAGCATTATATGTGATCCACAAACTTGTTGTTTATTCCATTATTTTACCCAATGGAAAAGAGACAAGTGGCGAGTTTTGACAAAGCTTACCATATTGATTTAATGTTCTAATTGTCCAAGGAAAAGAGGGTGTGACATGGAATTGTTAATGTGATTCCTTAAATAGAAAAGAGGTACGTGGCAAGTTCCAATATTAAATGGAACTTGTCATGTTAAACTACAATATTGATAAATATTCCACCTTGGAATATTTAAATTATGGGAAATTAAAAGACAACTGGCGAGTCCCTTTAGGACTTACCAAATTTAGGATAAAATGTCCTAAAAGGAAAAGAAAATGGCGTGGAGTTATTATCATGAATACAATCTCATAAGAAGACTAAAGTCAGCCAACCAATAATTTATCGACACATGGCGAGCTTTATTAAACTTGCCACGATGGATTAATTTTGTTAAAGTTGAATTTATTTGGAAGATCCTATTTTAGTAGGATACCAATTAGATGGGTATTTTTCATTTAAATAAAAGTTGACTAAGTCATGAGGACGTGGAGGCAACTTTCTCCTTATTTTTAGGAGATTTCAACAATGGTTCAGCCAAGTCAACTTCTATTGCTAAAATTTAGCAAGGCGTGGGATTTAATTTATTTCTTTATATATATATATATATATATATATATATATATATATATATATATATATTAGGCTTAAA